TAACAAGTAAGGATGGGGTCCTCGAGATCTAAGTGTGTACTTTACGTAGACACAATAGGAGTGTGTACTCCTACACGGAAAGAACGATTTTGTTGAAAGACCTAAAAATTTTGCTAAAAATAGATCTGAAAATAATTTTTTATTAAATCATCAAATTAATTTGTTGGAATGTTAAAACTGATAAGTATTGCTATAAAACGTTTTGATATTCTAGCAATCATTTTGACTTTCGCACAAAATAATTTTGATTATTGAACAAAAATTAATTTCAAATCTGGATTCAGCAAAATTGTTCTTTCCGTGAAGAAATAAAATTAATATACAAGCATAGGAATTATATCAAAATAGAGGGAAAAGGCACCGTATGACACAGAATAGATCTCATTCAACGATTTAGCAATTAAGAAAATATAATTTCAAATATCAAAAAAAGATCTAGGTTTTACTTTATTTTACGAATACAAAATTTTAAATTTCTCCGCTATATTTGACTTTTGATTTTTATAGAGAATAAATGAATTGAATTTTATAGAGATTTTTATCAGAGAATGATTAGATGCTTGAGAACTGTCTTTTTATTAACGAGTAGTGGTAAAATAGACGCGGGAAAGAGGAGAAATTTAAAGTGACACTATTTGCCCCCTGTCACTTTTTGCCCCCTCCCCCCCCTCCTTCTCTTACAAATAAATAGAATTATTAAAGATTTTAGAAATGGCTAACGGCACGCGGTAAACAGTGCGAACGTTAATTTTCAAATATTCAAGTTAATGTTACTTCATCTTTTATTCGAACATTTTGATCCACTTTGATTCAGCGAAGTTAACTCCACAATGGTAAAACGCTAACAGAAAGTGATTTCACTTCGGTCTTTCCGTTAGCGTTTGACGAGAGTTAACCTCGCGGAGGATGGCTGAAAGTGGAACCGAAATGTTCGAACAAGGATGGAGTAATGTTGACTTAGGAATATTTGAAAATTAATGTGCGCACTACTTACTGCGCCATTTCTCTCATTAATTATTTCTAGAATCTTTAATTATTATTTTTAATTATTACATTTTCGAGGTTCTATACTTGCTATTTATTACATAGAATTATACTAACTGCAGAACGGCTTGTCAGATCCAGTCATCAGGTACACAGAAGCATGGTAATTTCCGGGCTGCGCGTCCAGTCCGAATCTTGGGCAATACTGGTGCACGCAGTCGAAACAACCGCCCTGCTGAAACTTGTCCCAGGAGTTGCATGGCACGGCTATGAACGGGCAGGGCGAATTTATGCTCTCAATGAAGTACTCGTAACTCCTGATATGATTGCAACCAAGGAATCGCTTTATGCCTGAAAGAAGAGGCGTATCAATTATAAGAAAGAATTATATATAGATAATTTTTGACAATCGAATGTTCTTTTCTCTTAAGAGGAGACACCACGGTGATGGATAAAAAAATAATTGCATTATTTAAAAAAATTCAATCATTAAAGAATATATTTCTGAAATTTTATTTCAAACTTTTCGAAGAAGTAACGAGATTATGGAACATTTTCGAGAGCGCTTCAGGTCGCTCGAAGTAGTATTCAGGTCCAGAACATAGGAATCTTTAAGAAAAAATGGTTTAGCCTGTATCCTATATAAATCAGGTTGAGAAAAAAAATGAGTACTTGAAACATGTCGGAAAGAAAAAAAGCTTAGCGGAAGGAATATGCTAACAGCAGATTTAATTAATAAATGAGCTGCCATGGCCCTACTATAATATATACAAACTGATTTTTAATGGCCGCCATTTTGTAAAAAAAAGTACTATTTTAAATAAAATAAAGCTACGATCGCACGATATAATTTCAGATTAAAAATTCATAAATAATATTTATCTTAATGCCTAGAAGCGAAAGAATATTGAGTCAAGTAGCTTTTTACGACACTGATTTTTTTATTTTATATCTTATTTAAATTAATTAAATTAACATTTTTTAAATTTTCCTTTTCTTCCAATTCATCGTTTAAAATTTATATACTTCGAAATTCATAAAAACGTAAAATGTGAAAATTTATTATTAATTATTACGCAACACGCTACACTCATTTGCTACATCAAATGACATAACTCAAAAAATTTTCCAGTTAAAATATTTCAAATCATTAAATTTTGTAACATCATTTTTAAATGCGATTTTGATATTACAATTTGGTCTACTAATTGTAAGAATGCATGGGACAAAAGTACTATTAGTTCATTCAATGTATTCAATTCTCATCAGAATTTTCTTTTCTTTGCAGACAAAAAGATTACAATTTTTGAGTTAGGCGATTGTTGTAGTAAATGAGCGATATATTAAAGACAACTTAATTTTTCGACCTGTCATCCTGGTATCTTCTCTTAATGGAGCGTTTTAACGTAAAATAATCTCTCTTTTCCGAAATCGGATGAAAGCGAATCGGAAACTCACCGCGAAAAAAACTGCCGCGTTCCAAGGTAATAGAATTGAGCACGCCTTCATTACAGCCAGGCTGATTACGTCCACTGTTAGGATAGAAATCGATATGTCCCACTGGATGCATAATGCCTAGACCACCGCTGATGAACAAGTTTGAGTCAGTATGGTAGGCTGTAACGAAGTTGGCATCCGTCGGATCCAATCGAACCATCGGATGTGTGTTGCTGAAATGCGGCTCCGCTGGATCAAGACCTTGTGGGCAGAGAAATTGTAACGTGACAAGTGTTAGGGCAAACAACAATCGTTTCGGCAACCAAAATTGGCAGTCGAAATCGGCGCACGAGTTTGGCACAGACCGCACGAATACGGCACGTCGGCGGAATAAATTTGTAACAAAGAGAATGAATTCTGCATTGGAATTGGGCGGCAGTTGATACAAAGAATTGTCCGCTTTTTAAGAAATTCTACAGAGAATTGTCGCATTTCTTTCGTTCGTTTATATGTGATCTAAATTTTGTCAAATTTATATGCATGTAAATTTGTATAAAAATATATACTTAAGTATGTATATTATTATAAATTATAAAAAATATATATGAAATATGTATAAAATATACCTACATTATATACAAATTAATATATTATAATTATAAAATTTATAATAAATAATATATACTAAGTAAACTTTAAAATTCGTGATACTGAAAAATCTTAGAATTTTTAATTATCTGCTATGCTCTTATCACGAATGTAAGAAATATATAAAACTAATTATATATAATATTCTAATATACTTTAATAGTTATAGTTACGAAATTATTCGTAACATTAATACAAGAATTTTAGATTAATGTTTCCAGACATGCCGGTGAAATTAACAAATTTTGAAAACAATACGTGCGAAGCAATAAGATTCATTCTTCTATTCGATATATCGTTCTGCGATCTTAATGAACGTTCGTCTCGCTCGACTTATAAGGCGCACAAGGTTCAGCTCCTGTCACGTAACGATTACAGTACATACGTTCCGCCGCTGTAACATCGTATTACATTGCGCAAAGGCGGAAGTTATTTTGCGGTTCGCAGAGACAATACGTTAATCGCTTGGTCTCTTTACGAAGGTAAATAATCGCTACGACGCATCGCATGATCTTGATGTCACGATGCATAACATGATGATTTTCTTCCCCCTTCCCGCCCTCCCCCGCCTAGGCAGAATTTACAAATTACACGCGATGAACTTGGAATATTCCGCGTCGGGAAAACATTTATATTTGTGCACGGCGGCGAAGCGGCGCGGCGCGGCGGCGAGAACGACCTGCGCGTCTCGCTTCGACAATTTTCGTCGGGACGCGGCTCTTTCACGCCCGGCATGACTGATGATATCCCATTATCTTTCTCGTCCTTATTCGGACGAGGCCTATCCCTCCTGCTATCCTGCCACTTCTTGGGGCAACGTGCTCTCTTATTCTGGTTGTTTACCGCAATCCCGTCTCCGGACGTGTCCAGGAGCCACCACACGCTCTCCGCACGCTCGCTCTCGCGCGGTGTCCTCCAACGCATGCCTCGTCCCGTCCTCGGCCGTCCTCGGCGGTTCCGAGACGTCCCCCTTTCGGTTAGGGGATGTCCCGCCACGCGGGTAGCGCCGAGGCGGAGAGAGGGCGTCGCGTTTCGCCGACCCTCGGCGAATTCTGCGGGTCGCCTCGCGGCCATTGACGATATAGGCCCCGCCGCCGCCCTTGCCGACACACACTTCGCGCCTTCTTCTGTTATCCTGGTAGTTCCCGATGGGATCGATAGCTTACGTAACGACCAAACCCGTCCACCTCCGATCGGGTGCGTTCGATCTCATCGATTCCACCGGGGTGGGGGGAGGGAGGGGTGGAAATTACGCGGGGCTAACTTCTCCCCCCGACTCGTACAATCTCGCTTTTCCGTACGCCTCCAATCGATTTCGTCGTTGGTACAATGCAAATTGCATAATGAACGGTGCGACTTACGACGAAGAGTCACGCAGAGGAGAGAACGTAGTATCCTATCACGCGACGATTAGGTATGTCCTGCGAACTTGCGATTTTTAATTTCTGCCTGCCGCGGCAGAATGAATTACAAACTGTAATCCATCGTGCTCGAATAATACTCGCTGTTCACTATTGTACGATATCGAATGTTATATAAATTCACTGATGGCATACAAATCAACAGGAAAGTACAATGAAAGTAACATGATTTCATGGTCGTTATTTGTTCACCGTAATGACGATTGTTTCCTATTTGCTTGTTGCAGTGAAGGTATCGTCGAGTCTATTAGCTCATTACGTTTGAAAAAAAGTCACTATAATCATTTAAATTATAAGTTTGTGTAATGGAAACTCTGATGGAAAGTTGAAGTATACGGTTTCAGACGTTAAAACACGCGCGTATAATGTGAACAATCGAATAAACAAATTTTTTAAATAAAAATATTTTTCCCTCAGAAATTCCGCACGCATTTGCATCCTCGCCGATTATTTCGCTTGTATTATTTCACTTGTATTTATATTAAAAGTTATAATTTTTTTTTATTTTTTTTTATTTATTAAACTTATTGCAGAAAATATAAAATAATGTTTTCAAGATTAAAGCATTTCCTGGCAAAACCTTTTTAGAAGTCTTTACATAATTTTTAGAATTATGTAAATTTCAGAATTTTTCAGAATGTTTGTATAATTTTATAACTTTTTAAAAAGAGTTTCTTAAATTTTTTAATATAAATTGGAACATTTTTCAAAAATGCTGAGAAAGTCCACACTTTTTCTAGAATTCTTTGCACATATCTTTGAAATAGAGTTTTAAGATTTCTCATTTTATAATTTCCGAAGAAAAAATTAATAAGATTTGAAAAAACTTAAGGTTTTAAAAAAGGTATTTTTTCAGAAATCTTTGTAACAATTTTTTAAAATATGAGAATTTTTTTTTACCAGAGTTTCTCACAACTAAGGATAAAAGTTACGGTTCGAGAAAGTACCTGACTTTTGTTATTAATAATTTCGTTGTTATTAATATCATTTTTCATCCCAATTTTTGCGTGGTTGATAACGTGCCGCGAGATTGACCCGAGTTGGACCTTTTTCGAGCAAGGCGCTTCTGCGGCGACTGTTATCCTGATCATCTACGATTCAATCGGCTATCTTCGTAATGCTCCGAGCTGTTTGCGACTGCAGGAGGGGACAGAGGCGACCCACTCGACATTGACCGATTTCCGCGCGGAAAAATGAGGAAGAGGAGAAAAGGTGCAGCGTAACGCGACCGCACCTTCGCACCCCACTCTTTTGCATATCTCCGGCTGACTTCACCCCGCGTTTTTCCTTTCTCCTGCACACCTCTCGCGCGCTTTCCTTTTGCAATCGCTCGTTCAGCCTTGCATAAAGAGGCTTTTGACACTCTCCTCTCTCGCAATCGCTTCTTGAATCGCTCGTAAAGGGGTCTCTGACTTTCTTGTACGCGTAACGTAATCCTCGGAGGATTATTCAATCAATCATTTTTCGCTCCTGCTTATTCATCCGCATCATATAATATATATGTATTATATATAAAGACTCGCTTGTTGATTGTTGCGCGATGACGTTATGTCGCGCAATATCATGGAAACAAAATTTACACGGACGGATGGATAATTTATATTTCATGTAAAAATGTTAAAAGTTTCATGCCGACGATTATTGTGTTCGTTCAACTGTGATTAAATTTTACCTATTATCCGCGCCAATTTGTAGCGATATCTACTGTCGGACTGCAAATTGTATCCGACGTAACCACAGGTATGGGCCCCAAGGCTATGCCCGATGCAGTGCATCCTCGAGGGTGATAATCCCGCTACCTCGATCAGCTGTGCCGCCAGGCGTGCCGTCATAGCGCCCACCAGCCGCGTGTTCGCCACCGCCTGGGTGTAGGGTGGCCCAGCGCCTGCGAGCCAATTGACGATCAACACATTGCAATCCTCCCGAACAAGCAGCTCCTTCATCACTCTCTGTCAAAAAACGTTCACGTGTGAGTGTGTCTGCGAGTGAAGAGTTTGACAAGTACAGCAGTACAATTGTAAAACTTTTATTTTAGAACAAATTCAAGACGTGTGTCGAAATTATGAACCGTTATATGTATATCTCTCATATGTGTAAATCATATACCGTTATATGTATCTCTTATATATGTGTCTTCTTGAAAAAAAAAAGGAGAAATTAATATGAAAACTCGGTGTATCTGTAATAGCGAGAAAGTTAATAAAATTCTACAAGTCTGTTTTTAATTATTAAACTCGTTGTATAACCACAAGATTTTTTTTCGAGAGACATCTACAAAATTTCTCGAAAAGTCGATTTCTCTCTCTAACAAGTATAAAAAAATCTTGAGAGGCACTTACCAACACCCACGTTTTGTCACCATTGTCCAGGAATCCGTGGATAATAAAGTACAAATTGTTTTTCTTGTTCAAGGGCGATTTCTGAATCGTCTCGAAGTCATCGATCTTCAACTCGTAAGGCTTCTCGACCTGTTCACGTGTATAAAGTATATAACGAGGGTTTATGTTGTCCGGACGAACTGGAAATGTGGAAACCGGTCGATTCTCCCCGGACCAGGGTGGTCCGATATAGAAGCAGCCGTACGGATCGTAGCATCGCCACATGTACCATTCTGTAGTGAATAAAAAAAAACTGCCTTTATTTCTTGTTTTTAGCTGCATTAAAAAATTTAGTGCAACAATGGTCTAAATTTAACACACTTGAAAATCGATTTTATTATAGGTTAAAATAGATCAGACAATCATTGTGAAATCTTTACTTAGAAACGATAGATAATTAGAAATAAGTTCTTTTCAATATTTTAAGATGCTTGCCAGCAAATACCAAGTACATGTAACGTACTTGTTATAATTTCCCACTCAACAATATAACTGTAATATAACACATGAGTTATATTAAAGTTATATTGTTGAGTGGGAAATTATAACTAACAAATACACGTTACATATAACTTTGTGTTTGCTGGGTTATAACTGTTATAAGCATCGATTTATTAAGAATTGAAGATCAATGTGACCTCTAGCTCTGTTCCAGCCTCAGCTAATAATTGCGTTGCAAGTCCGAAATTGATTCGGTGCGCAGTTTGAACAGCTGAATAATGGAATTAAGAAATTCATATAGAACTCATTAGGCACCATTAGATTCAGCCGAGACCGTAGAAGATGCTCTCATTTAGTTGTGTTAGTCACATAACGCGGTCTAGTTCGAATTATAATTATTGTTCAAAATTGTTTCTGCTTTGCATCCTTGAAGAATATAAATATTATACAGAAACGAAGGACCGAAAACAGATCGATACATCTGTTATTGTCAATAACTAGGTTGACGCCTGCGGGTCAAATGACATACGTTCACATACATCGGGCTACCATGCTCGAGGCGCCTTGAATATTTATCAGCCATAAAAACTATTGAGCTTTTAATCAGCTTGATCGCTTTCATAAATTCTATAACAAAATAACTATATCTGTTTCAATTTATATTGAGCAAATAATTTGTTGTTATACGAGAAATTGGTTATTGTACACGGAATTCTATAGAGAATGCTCGTCAAAACATTCCTCCGCGCCGCGAAATTGTACAAAAGTTTCGGCGTACGTGCCTCAATAGCAAATATTTTGGCGTGTACGTATCTAACTGATTTATTCGCCGTCCTTCACTTAATATCAACCGAAACGGCTTCGAGCGACCAACGTTACTACGGATTACTCGTCAGGGGTTATCGGCGACGCCGTCCATGATAGCTCCGCACACGCGCTCTAATCAGTTCCTCGAAGACCCCGTTGATGTTTTGTCTCCGCGCGTGGAGATCAGCGATTAGCGATCGGCGCAGCATACGATCGCACGTGATTATGTATAATGTTATATATAAGTAACCCTCATTCGCTTTACTCTCTGCATAACTCCCTTCTGACTTTTGTCTTCCGGGTGTTTCCTTAATCCACCTAATTCGACTTTCAATTCAACTGAATAGCAATATTTGTTGCAAAGAAGAAACAATGTATATACAGAGGAGGCAGCAAACAAAGACCTGTATGTTTTATTCCTCTTTTTATATTCCCGTATTCGTACTTGTTTTTCTTACGGAGTATTCTAACTAAGCTACAGAGAAGAGTTATTTTAGAAATAAGAGAAGTGCGTGTAAACGAAATCTCTCGAGACTGACACTTACGATCGTCCAAATCGAATTTGTTCTCCATCTCCACCGGCGACAGGGTCGTGGTGGAGATATTCTGAGCTTCGCTAATATTCCCCGAATCTGTCTTCTCGGGCATGTTAACCATCATGTTGGCTGTGTACGCCAGCACCATCATGGTCTCGTTGAGGAACATGTTGGAATGTTAACAGGTATCTCTCCGCAATCTTCTTCACGTTGATGTATATTTTATGAGTTATATATCGATGTAACTCTTCACGCGGTATCGCGCTCTTTCGTTTTACGATAATTTTATCGTATTATATGTATATATTGCTTCACAGAGCTCCAAAGTTATATTTATAACGTTAGCATCTTCGCAGAAACAAATAAAAAAAAATCTCGTTGAGACGCACCGTTATACACGAATAAATTGTGTTATCACAATGTGTCCTATAAATGTTAACTTAACTTCCGACGAAAATCAATTGCAGACGAATTATGTATGAAGAGTGTCTTCTTCCTTATCACTTCACTTTCTCGAAAGTCGGCAGTCGTGAGCGCGGATTCCGGCTCTTCAGCACTCTTCTCCGGTCAGTCGAAGAGGCGGGACACTTTTCGCTTCGCACGCCGCAGAAATAGACGCTGCGACGTCCTTGGCGTCGACTCTACGAAGATCTCGTGAGCTCTAAATGTCTGGTCTCGTCGACGGGACAATTCATCAGTGCCAGCCACTATGTAAGCCGCGCGATAAGCGGTAATAATAATGAAAAAAAATCGATTGACGCAAAAGCGCCAATGATAGCACTCGTGGTCGGCGGCGCGGTCCCGATATTGAGCGTCCGTCTCAAAATAAATGAAATTTTAATCGTGTGCGCGCGGCATTCAGTCGCGCGGCACGCTAATTAAAAGTGATATTTCAAGCCGAGCGTTTTCTCTCGATTCTTCGAGAAGTCCTCAGGCTTTTATATTCAAGCACAATCTTTAATTTCTATATAGAAGAATTATTAGTTTTCTGTGTAAGTATATATCTCTCGATTCTTTGTACAAGCTTTAATTTAGACAATTTAAACTCTCGACAATTTTCCAATTACACTTAGTACTGCAAACAACTCCCTCTTCGATTTCCAAGAACGTACTGTCGTCCGACACGCTGATTACGCCGCGACAAGAAAGATCGAGACGATTCGAAAAGCGTAACAGCGATGACACGGTCACGGTCAAGCGTCCTCGCTGATCTCGAGTCCACTGATCGGCCACGCACTAATCACTCAAATTTCTGCTGACCCATCTGAACTTCGTGTATTTCCGCCCCACTCTCTTCTCGGAGAGCTCAACTGGGAGCTGCTCTCATTTTTCCGGGCGGTCCGGTTTCAAGACGGAAAGACGAGACGTACACAAAGATCGTTATGTTGTTTCAACAGATTCCTCTTCTTTACAAAAATGTGAATTTTCTAAAATGATATTTCATAAATGTCACGAAAGTCTTTGTAAAAAGATAAACTTACTTGTTACATCTCTATATATGTATATTTTAATTAATAATGAAAAGATATTCATCACAGTAGCGAGTGTCTTTATTATGCAGGGGAGACCGGAGCTTATTGTTACATATATATTTCTAGAATAAAAAGATAATAGCACTGTATGAAGAAGATAATACTGTCTCGGAAACATCAATTATATCGGAAATTTAATGATTTGAAATATTAAATACATTTTTCAAGCTTAGTAATATGTCATTTTCTATAAGCCGAACAAAATAAATAAAATATATATTATCTGTAATATTTCTAAAATCTGTTATACTTATGTTAAAATAAAGTTTGTAATATTTCTTCTAATCTTTGCTTTATAACATATAAGTTTTATTTTAGATTAATCTCTTAAAAGAAATTAAATTTTTTTCTAAATTCTCTGTTATCTTAATTACAGAGAAGCAGAGCGGGATCAGTTGTGACGATTGTTACAGCAGTTGTTTACATTAATGTTTACATTAATTACATCTTATATTTCTAGTAGATATATAGAAAATAGGAATTTCTTCCTCCAGTAGTAACTTTTTTAATAGTAAATTAATATATTTTATTAAAATAATGAAACATTAAAAAGTTGCTTACATTTATGTTTATCGTATATGACATTCATGCCATGTGATACAGTCAAACCTCGATAACTCTCGAATCTCAAGGGACCAGCTATAAAAATGTTCAAGTTACAAAGGTTTCGCCTTATCGAAGTTTGAGTAAAAGAGAGATAACATACGAAAATTACGGAAGCTTTGTATGAGAGTTTATAATTTACAATAGGTTTGAAAGTAAAAAATTCGAAGTTTTTTGAGTCGGTTTTCAAATTATGGAGTTATCGTTATTCGACTGTATATGTAAATGCATACTTCTATTATTCGAGAGTATAATATATTTATAGATAATTAAATAAATTACAAATAATTAAAATGTAAAACATATTTAAAAGAACTTACAACTTCGTCCGATATCTATCCTATATGTGGGAAAGGTTTTGCTACAGGTCGCCTTCTGATATTTTTATTATCGTAAGATTTTATTAATGTAAAAGTACAATTTCACATTAAAATAATATTTGTATAATGTATAGATTTACAGCTTTTGATAAATCTCTGCGATATTTATCTGATTTATTGGCCGTAAAAAGCGTTATCAAAAAGTTATAACCACCAGCCCTGGTATTTCCTACGTATATGTCGATATGAACTGACACCTATAAGGCACAGAATTCCAGAAGGGGCGTACAGAGCCACTTATTTTTTTCAGCAGCAGTATCGCACAGATACTTCTCAGTTTCTTCACTTTGTTTTCTCTTTCTTGAAATATCGAACTCGAGAAGAATTTGCCTAACAGCTGACTGACGCTTTGTGAGTAACAGCTGCTCGGGGCAGATCGTTAAACTGGAGTTTCTACGGAATCCGACGTATCGTCGAAAGTACCTCAAAAGGACCGCCCTTTTTGTGCCGGCCGCCTCTTCGTGGAAGCGCGTTTCTTCTCGGACGATAAATCCGCCGGTAGTTGAGCGGCTCGCGGCTAATTAAACCAGATCAAAGGCACTCACAAGTGCTCGTTAAGTCGACCCCGTTTTTTTTTTCTTTCCCTCCGTCCCAAGTAGCGCGCGATAACCGTTCTCCGCGTCGCCAAGGTATATCGGTATCGCGATCGCCGGTAATGATACGCGGTCGCGCGCGAAAGAGGCTGGCGTCACGAGAATGCCTTCTCTGCAAGTATAAGAGCAAAACGCGTGCTCTCGTTGCATCGAGGTCGATCTTTGTTCCTCGAGCACGAACAGACACGCGGGAATGGACTTACGCACGTGGGGAATGCCAGTGGACTTGAGACATAGATTCTTAAATGTAAACAACGAAAGTTATAACGAAGATTATACTTACGAATAAGATTGTTTTAAGAATTATTATTAATCATTAAATCACCACGCCCAAAAAAATCACACTAATCACAATGTCGGTCTAACAGACCGCTATTATGCTTCCGCTTTTATAAATTAATTATAATAAAAATGTATGTTTTCTGAATACTTGTCGATGGGGAAAAAGTGAGTTTTAATGTGAAGGTGAACAAAAAAATCTTGTACACAACAGAAATAAAATATATTTAAATGGTGACAAATAAGAAAATTGTTGATAAGTAACGTTTCAATAGCGGTCTGTGAGACCGATATAGTGGTTTAAAGGTAAACAGGTTAAGCTGAACCATTTTATAACTTAAATTCTAGCTTTCGATTCATCGAGTAATACAAACAACATAAAAAATTCCACGGAGATGTATCAGCTGTTTTTTTATTGAGCAGACAGATTCTCGTTTTTTTTTCAGATATGTGATGCTCACCTTCATCTGTTGATACTTGTTATGATATTCTTCGATGGCCTCGATTTCTTTTGTCATGTCGTGAATACGGAACGTAACCTGAGATTACGGAAAGAATCTCGTATTTCTCGAAAGCGTATACAAGAAAAGAAAAACGTCGCGTACCCTCTGCCAAACGTGATAGCGCCATAGATCGTTGGTGGGATTCTATTACCACATGGAATAAAATGCGCGACGACAAAACGTCACGAGGGGTACTTTCTTACTTTCTGCAAAGCGTATTTGATGAACTTACAGTACAATTACATTTATCGTACAAACAAGATTTTCAAGCTCGTTGATTGGCTTATACAAGCTAGAAAAGTTCTGGATATACTCGAGAATTTCTCTATCCTGTAGCTGAATAAGGGTACCATTTGTCCGTTTCTTTTTGTCGCACGACAAATATACCTAACACCAGTTTTACGATGGTGCAACTATTATTCAAGAGAGCCTCGTTCAAAGTCTCGCCGAAATAGGATATACGTAACAGGGCTTCGCGCGCGTGGACAGGATAGCACAAAGGCCCTTTTCCCGGCTTAGGTACATCGAACCGATCGATATACGGGTGGGTCGAGAGCCGGTAACGCGCGCCCATAGAATTGGCGTTACACCGCCCTATGGGGTGCCGTCGACCCCGGCGGTTCTGCCGTGCGTAAATGAAACCTCGTATATATATATATATATACTATATATATCCCCCTGCAGCATCCCCCTTCGCGAGTCACCCCCGTGTGTGCGGGGTGAGAATCGTGCCTCCTACCCGATCGTGAATCCCTAATACCTCGCACCCCCGAGACTCTCTCGTGGTGCGCGAGGTATTACTTAGAGAACATTGGCGAAATCGTCAACACCCGAGCGTTGCACCAACCAGGCCTGGCCAGGGGACTCCTGGCTGTTCCTGCGGGCTTGGTAGCCGAATCGTACGACTGTTGCATCGTGATTACCGCGAAAAGTATGAATGACAGCTGAGCGGAATGCTGGGAGAAGGGGTAGGGAGGGGAGGGGGGGACAGAGGGGTTGCAGCCCCTGGCATCGCCGGCCGGCGTGTGCAGAATCCGCCGTCCCGTCTCAATTTTTAAGCGCACCGTGTGTATCGCGCACATTTAACCACGGGGTGCAGTTTTATAAGAGATCCGCATATAATTTCAAAATTCGTTCACTTTTACGTGTTTCTGTCACACGCATTGGAATTTCATTAAATCTGTATTTATACCAATAATATCCTTATAAATATATACGTTGAATAATTAATGCATGTCGAAAGACTGCGGCGGCGTGGCGGCGCGCGCGCATCGCCGAGCGCTTTTACACGAGATGAGGTTGCTAACATGAAACCGGTTTTTCACGCGCGTTCGCTCTTCAATCAATTAATTAGCTAAATACGCGACATTATGCGCGCGGTCGTTTACCCGCGGAAAAAAAGAAGTGTACGAAGGTGGCGAGGCGGGCGCGAGAGGCGGGGAAGGAAGGAGGGGGGCGGGAGGGGATCGAAAGGGGGAGAGGCGCGCGCTCGGTTGCTCCGCGCGCGCGTGGGCAGCCCACGTACGACGCCACGTATAACGTGGGTCTTTAATGATATGAACGACAGACTGCCGTCTCCCTGCCTCCCCCCTCCCTCTCCTTTGACCTTGAAGGAGCCCTTGAAACACTCCTGGCAACCCTTGCTACCCTGTTACATTGCCCTATCCAATCCCCATTCATTTACATGCGCCTCCGGTTGCAAGGCGACCTTCGGAGCTCTCGGCTCCGAGCTCCGCTAAAAGTGATTTACCTCGCGCGCCGCGCCTCGTATAAAGCACAGTAAAGCGACCCACGCGAGAAGTGCCGCCCGTTCAGCTAAATTGCTAATTACGCGCCCGGAGCGCGGTCGCCAATGCAGTTGAGGCAGCCAACCCACGACGTATCCGGATCGAGTCTTTGCTTATATATAATTACAGCGCAATTTATCTCTCCGGATTAAGGGGCGCGAATCCCCTCTGACACACGCCGTGTTTATTTATCGTTTGATCGTTTTGTCTATTAAAATTGCCATACTCGCGTATTTTAGAGTTTACTTATATTGTTATTTCACTCGATTTTACTTTAGATACCGTGGGCGTTTCTTGACGGGTGTTGTTTGACGACCGTTCTTGACTTGAAAAAAGCTCGCGTCCGTTCGAAGAAAAATCTCTCTCTCTCTCTCTCTCTCTCTCTCTCTCTCTCTTTCAGTCACGTCTAACTGACGGCTACTGTTAAGTTAAGAGACGAGCGAGTAAATATTTATGCGCTATGTCACGACGATGACGTGAATTCAATGTGCGGAGGCGTTAAAATTTCTGTTTGCCTGAAAAATTGTTTACTCGCTGAAACGTGCGTCAAATGTGCTCCCATGATCGTACTTTGTACTTTGTTAATCTGCCATCGTCCGCAGTTACGTATATATATTCCGGGCAATGTACATCAGATAAGGATTGCGTCGTCGGACGGCGCATAGGTCGACCGAGAGGCGAGATCTTCTTTCGAGAAAGTAGATAAAACTCTGTATAGAAAAATCCGTGTCAACAATCAATGTGTACACGAACGCTTAATTGCCTCCCTCAATACGATATCGAGAGAGTGAGTAAACAGCAATTTCGCGTTGCGAAAAAAATCAGCGGGAAGACGAGCAAGAAGCGATTGTAAATAATGT